TGATAGTCTATGGTAGTTGGTGGTGGAACGGGAGCACAAGCTTTAATTATCATCGGCTATCATCAGTATCATGCACCATTTGAGTGGGGCTTAAGTCGGCAAAGTCTGGAATGATCGAGAAACAGCAAAATCCCCAATCATCTTGGATTTTCCTGATGTATGAAAACGAGGCCTCAAGGTCGTTTTGGCTAAAACAAAAACAGCGTAGCATTTTCCCTCATCTGAAGTCAACGCTTGATCTTTAGGTTTTGGCTTGTTATTACTATAGAAAAACAAAATTGACCTTGCCTACGTTGGTCAATAACCCATATAAATTTATCCAGATATTTTCAGTAAATATTTTGGCTACCCCCATCAAAATGTGTGGAAAATAATAAAAACATAACAATGCATGTTGCATCTGACCTGTTGTTGTATTTGATGTAGGCATGTGTGCACAAGGTGGAGGAGAAATTAAAAGAGAAAGACCCACGCACTCAGTAGAATTTGAGCCAGGCCACAGGTGAGAAGGCAAGGCATAACCTGTGAACCAGTTAAAAAAATGTCAGATAGTAAATACACTTTTGCGACCAAAAGATTTCTCTATGTCCATTTCATTCTGATTACATGAACACAAGCAGTCTCTGCAATTAAAGCCAGTAGAAGCATTACTGAGATCTTTAGTGTGACGATTAAATTTCTTCAATTTCCAAACAGCTTTTAAAATATTTTAGGGGTAAATTTAGCCAGCAGTTATAATTATAGTAATGAAGAAATAAAAAACACTTTCCATAGGTTTCTATTGAGCTCAGAAAACACAAGTAGAAGTTGGGAGAATGAGAAATGCTGTGGGAACATGAGCCATTGGCCAGTGTTCAGCAACATTTCTTAGTTCTCCTAAACTTCTACTGAACAATACAGTATTTTGCAAAAGTAATGCAAACACCTGTCGACGAAATTCGAAAAAATTCCAGTTTTTCGACGAATTCTTGACCAAAACGAAACTTTCACGACATTTCTGCGAATTTTCGAGGGATGTATTGTTTTGAACGGCTCGAACTTTCGGCGACATGTTCCTTAATGGAATCAAGAAAAAAAATCAAGATCCTCCACAAGCAAGGCCTCCACCCAACTGAAATCTTGAAAGCGTTGAAACGCGAAGGGCTACCAGTGAGCTTTTCCAGTACTACGTGCATCATTAGAATGTTCTATCTCACGTTCATGTTCCATGGCAAACTTACCTCGATCAGGAAGACCTCAAAAGCTGTCTATGGAAGCGAACACCGTATGTGAGAACAGTGCAAAATAAGTATTGGCAAAATATGCCAGGATTCACACAAAAATAGGGCAACGTTACCAAAATACTTGTTGTTGCAGCCGTCACTTATTAATATTCAGTGTTTTGTTGCGAAATGTAAAGTATTTCACACCCTTTGTTTCACACACTTTTATTGGCGTCTGATTATGTAGGATCAAAACACACAAAGAACGCCTAAATGCTAAAATACTGTACGCACTCTAAAGCTCGTGTTTTTTTTAATATGTATTAAATGTGAAGAATAAATATTTCCAAACAAACAGGGGTGTTGTGATATCTAGAAAGTAATCAGCGATATGGGTGCTGTCTACTTGCGCAGGGTTTGAGAACGAATAAACAAGGAAAGCATTTCTAAATTGACAACTTTTGAAAACACTCTAAACACGTTCTCTGCTCTGTCTGGTTTAAAAGCGGAGTACTGAAGTTAATGTTAAAAACTATTCCAATCATTTCAGAGTTTATTTCCACCAAATACATGTCTCTTGGTTGCAATTGTTATTCATCCTGATTTACTTTTGTTGTTGTAAACTGATCGAACACTGAATCGGATATGATGCTTTAGGCTTGATTAAACATCAGGAAACTGAAGTTGATGTGCAAAATATCTGGATTTGTCTGAGAGATAATTTCAGCCAAGTACATGTATCATAATCGGAATTACTGTACGACGCTTAGGAAAATTTACCCAATTTTCGTTGTCATCCACAGATCGAGCCCAGAGTCGGACTTGATGACTTTTTGGTGTTTAGTTCTTTGGTCTACTATATTTAGTCTCAAATATTAAATGTCTCTGTCGCGGTGACTGGAAAAGGTTGGAAATACGTTTAAAAATATTTCGTGTTGCTTACATGAATAGTAAACAAACTTGATCACTCGCAGGAGGCTGTTGTCAGTTCGAAGCAAAACTTCGAACATTAATGATCGAGGAGACACTTTCCGCCATGAATTCACTTCGTGGTGAAAATTCAATGAAGAAGCGTCCTTTGTTCAAACGAAATGTCGCTTAACAGGCCTCAAACTTTCGATAGAGTTTGCGCTCGAACTTTCGACGAAAGATCGCTAGAACAACGAAATTCACCGAATTCCGTTTGTATTACTTTTGCACAATATTGTATATGTTTTCAGTGTTTCTGTTAATTTAAGGTACAGTAAACATCAACCCAAGTACTGAAAAGCTTAACTTCATTTTGCCTTTCAGTTTTAATGACACCAACCTTGAGGTTACCCAAGCAATTGAAAGGTGTCAGAGCAACATCAGCTTTCAGAGAGGCTGATCCTGTCATATTAGAGCGTAAATATAAATTAATGTTCCATAATTATGACTCTAATATTTGGTGGCCTAATAGCTAGCACATTGGACTGTGGATCAGGCGGTTTGGGTTTGAGCATTGGCCTGGACCAGTGTGTTGTATTGTGTGTTCTTGGGCAAGACACTTTACTTCCGTAGTGCCTCTCTAACCTGGTTAAGATTTGTGATATTTTGAATTGCTTTTGTCACAGGTGCCATAAAGTTTTACTTTAAAACCCTCAAGGCAAATCAAAGTGGTTGTTAACCTACGTGAGGACTGACGGACTGCCTCAAGTGGAAAATAAGCAGGATGAAAGTGTAATAAACTCTAGGGGGAATCAAAGGGGTCACAATGTAAGTGAATAATGGTGTACTTATCTTAAACAGAAATATCAAGCATATTTAAAGGAACTGTATACTGACAACATATTTCAGTAATCTACATGCACCAGTGAAATATTTAACCTGTATATACATCGGACAATAACATTATTATTGAGGCAGACACTTAGTGGTTTGAGCCCTGGTTGCTGCCTTTATGTTGTGTCCTTAAAGACATGACACTTCATTCCACACCGTCTCTCTCTATTAATGTATAACTGGGTAACAGCAACATGTTGGGGAAACCCAACTAAATGTTGTGGGGTAACATATGCTACCAGAGCAATTACAATGGCCAATCACAAAAGTGGTAAACAACCCAAAGATCTAATGAGGACTCTAAGCAAATACACATAATTGGTGTCACGTATGGGAAATTAAAACTCACATGACCAAGTTGTGATTGGTTTAGGTTTTGCATCTGATTGGTTGAATAGGTGGTGTGAATTTTTTACACCAATCACAGAGTGTACGTAGTAAAGCAAAATCAAAGCAATTCTGGATTTACTTTTGATACTCAATTGAAAACTGCTTCAAAATACTTTGTACTTATCACTGCAGAGTTTTATGATAAGCTGAACTGTGAAGCGCCTATAAGGCTTGATATCACTCCTGGTGGTTTGTTTAAATCAACTACCAACCAGACTACAACAGTCTTTTGTATGGTGTCACAAAAAAAGGTTAGTGCACTTTGTGCACAAACTTGATTTATGATGCTAAGAACTCATCCAGTTGGTGTGTTGTCAGTATATCGCAGTATATTCTGTAGAAATTTATCTGTGGAGCTTGCTCTAGCGTTCTTTAAAATAAGCAAAGACCACCCAAAAGCCTACCAATTCACAGCTGCCATTGAAAGAGTTGAAGAAACTGGTAAAAACTACCAAGACAGAACCGACGACAGAGAAGACCGAGTTAGAAGTGCTAGAAGAAGGCGAGATTCCTCAGGATTCTGGTACAGGTACATATCCGTATTCCTCCTTGGCTGAGTTACTGGATAATGTGGAAATCGGTTTTCCATGTCCGATCCACCAGAATATGATAGACGAATTGAAGTCTAAAAAAGAAGATTGTGACGATGTATTCCTACGTTGCTCAACCGCCCGTTGCCCAGTCTTTTGTAATCTCAATGACCATTATTACTATGAATGTCAAAGACAGGGTCACCCCCTGATTCACCCTGGACAGAATTGACAAGATGGTGTGCGAATGTGGAATGACTCCCACACTGTCTTTGACTCAATCAGAAACAAATTATGGCAAAATGTATTTGCGATGCAATTAACGCCATTGTAAGCTATTCACTTGGTGGCGATTTAAACCCAAGAAGAGGACAGTGCAAATTCTTACATATAAATGTGAATGATTCATTTCAGGACTAGACTTCAAGATGACATTTACTGATTTATTAGAAGCCCTTTTTCCTATAATTCGAAGAAAGTAATGCGAGTCTGATGTCTTAATTTTTAGGCATAGACAAGGATGAGGAACATGAGAAGGCTGTTTTGTGGGTAGCCCAATTAATCGCATCCTATGATGACAAAGTCACCGTCAATGTAAAAACATAGCGTTCATAGAGACTTGTCTTTGTAAACTTTTTTAGTTTCGGAAGAGGACAACATCGTAAGAGATGATACTTACCTTGATATCAATGTAAACTTAGGGGACAAACTTATGTTGAGAGTAGCTGAGAATAGCTGAACAAGAGTAGCCTCTGATTTCGTCTGACGACTCTGATTTTTCCGAAAAATCAGAGGCAATGTGCCTTTTTTTCGATAAACGCGGCTATCCTGTTTCTGTCGTTCAAGCGGGCTACCACCGTGCCCAACAAATCGATCGACAGGAAGCACTACAAACGGCCGAGAAGGAGAACACTGACCGCATTCCATTTACTCTTACATTTCACCCTCACAACCACGCAGTTAAATTAAAAATTTAAATTACTCCAAAACGATTCAGAGACTGGCACTATCTTTTCGCAACCCCCACTTATTTCATTCAAACGTGACAAAAACATAGGCAACTTTTTAGTCAGGA